TTTTTTTTTTTTTTTTTTTTTTTTTGTACAAAGATATTTTTATTTCTAAAAGTGTATTTCTTGATGTCATGGTTTGAGTCCAATGAATAATATATGGCAAGACAGACAAGGGTACAGATTACACTGTGGAAAGTGTAATCCGTAAAGGAAGACAGGGTAAGTCTTCCACTGACTTCACTGGATTCAGCACAATGATATGAGAAGGTCATGGGACTTAACACACAACTATTGCAAAATAAAACCATGGTTGTCTGCATTGCATGTTCTACTATAAAGTACCAGTACCAGTTTAGTATTGAAAGCAACACAGTAGCTCCCTGAGAGGCAAGAAGAAAATTCTGTTGTTTAGTGATCAATCTAAAGTGCCAAAAATGCATTAAATTAATTGTATCTATAGGTGTCATTCGTCATGTGGGAGATGCCTTGAAAGATCATTCTTCCAAATCCAGAGGACGAATATGTGCCATAGGAATTGCACCATGGGGCATTGTAGAAAACAAGGAAGATCTAATAGGAAAAGATGTAAGTGTTTAAGGAAACATATGTGGAAAAAGTACATTGTTAATGTTTCTGAAATATTACTTTTTTCCATTTCTAAAGCATGCCTAGAAGGTGAAATTGAACAATTTCATGAGAAAACCTGTTGTTCAAGAATATTTATAAGGTTGTCATATATGACCTCAAAGTAAATATGGAATTGGTGAGGTTTCCATTGCTTTCATTAGTAAAGACCTCTCTGTGGTGTTAGTTTTACATCCTAACTTCAGCATGGCACTCTGAGCCTTCTGTAAATCACATAAGGGCCTTGTTGTGTGTGCAAGGCTAGCATTTATTATAGGTGGGTACTCTGGAGTGGCATATGAATTACTAGGAACTCCAAATGAGAATTTATTTTCTAATGCACTAAGAGGATTATGTAACAACACTGTGTGAACAAGGAGAGCATGGTAATGAGCTTAGAGGAACATGAAGGGGAGTGCACAATCTGACTGTCATCCTCCAAAGAAAACATTGCTGTCAGGAGTAAAGATTTGAAATGTAAAGGCAAGCTCCATTTCTAATTCTCTGTTTTTTGTTGTAGAGGTTTGCTTGGTTTGTTTCCTCAGAAGATTTTGAGTGTGCCTCTGTTGGGTGGTTTGGGGCATTTTCCCATTTGATTTTTGGTTCTAATCTAGGTGCATCTCTCCTCTTGACACACAGGTAACACGAGTTTACCAAACAATGTCCAACCCTTTAAGTAAGCTCTCTGTGCTCAACAGCTCCCACACCCACTTCATTCTGGCAGACAACGGCACATTAGGTAAATATGGAGCTGAAGTGAAGTTACGGCGTCAGCTGGAAAAACACATTTCCCTCCAGAAGATTAACACACGTAAGTAGGAATGGGGCAAGCTGTAACCAGAACGTCTTGAAGTGGGGAGGAGGAAGGGCTTGAAGTACTTGAAAGTATGGAAGTTATAACTTCTTCCAGTTCTTTCCAGCGGAAATGTGAGCAGGACAGTGTGACTGGGCTAGAACATGTGCTGTTTGATAAGTGGTGAAAGGCCCACATCAAGTCAGGCAGAAAAACCATGGAGTAAGGATTGCATAAAGGGATGAAGAAAAAGTAACAAATAATAGTGAGGAGAAGCTTCAAAGCAGCGAGAATCTAAGGAAAAGGAAATGCAAAGACTTTGTGCACTTCTAGGCTAGAATTCATAAACATCACTAAACACATAGAATGAGGGGACTTTTTACAGTTCCTGTTTACAGGAATCCTGTGCAGCTTAGTGATTTCTGATTCTGAATGGTCACACAAGCGTTTTATTTTCTCTTTTATATACAGATATGTTTCATTTGAAATACCACACTCAAAATTATTTGGTCTTCCCAATAAACTTAGCAGGCACTTTGATTTTTAATGACAATTAAGACAATTTCACCTTAGTGCTTTCATATTTAGAATTTTGTGCAGTTTCAAAATTTCTTCCAGTTATTACGGCCTCTCTAAAATAATTTTCTAGCACTTTTCTCATCGTTATTTAGAAAAAAATCTTTTAAAATGAGCACATTAAAAATATTTTTAAAAGGTGAAATAAAAAAATACATAAACTATTTAAAAATAACCCCACAACCCTAATTAAAAATGGTAAAAAAAATGTTGATAGTCTTTCAGTTCATACATCGGTTAAGAGCTACTGGAGAATCTACATCAGTTCTACTAGTTGCTTTTCTTACCTTTTACTGGTGTCCCTGTAAACTGTGTAAGCCTTTAAAATTAAAAGAAACATCCAGAATAGCAATTGCATTGAATTCCACAGAAGTTCCTTATAGGGTCTAAATTCTCCTATGGGTAGAGCAGAAAACTCAAGTGGAGTGCCAGGTAAAGCCAAAAGGCACAATTAGAGATCAGCTGTGATGTATCCAGATGTTCTGGGAGTTCTCTAAGTGCTGTCCTGTGCCTATGGTGAGCCTGAGAAGCAGCTCAGGAAAATGCTGCCCCTTGCCTTTAGGCATGGAGGCCGTGCCAGGTGCTGCTGCCCACTGATGGAAACAGCTCAGCCTGTTTCTGTCATCTTTGTTTTCTGTGGAAGTGCTGGCAGAGCTGGAAGGTTGTGAAAGGAAGCATTGGCTTGAAAGATCGGGAATTCAGGGTCCAGATACAAGATGTTCTGTGTCATTCCTTTTAATACCACTGGGGCTGGGGAATATTAACTCTGGTTTAGGTAGTGTTTGATGATTTTTGTCATGAGAAGGGCAAAGTTGGGAATACACATAGAAAGCTGTTCTGTGAAGTGCTGCAGTACACCTGCTAGTTACAACATACAGGGAGTTGTTTTGTTTCTTCTTAATCATTCCAAGCACAGGCACCTCTGCTGGAAATCTCAGGAGGAATCACTAAAGATTCATGGACACACAGGCCGGCCCATGCTCTGTGACTCCTCCTTATCAGAGCTGGGGTGTACTGACAGGAGGATGGCAGGAAGCTTCTGCTGTTACTGTGCATGGTGTTCCTGTTCTTCAGAGAGGAATCAAGGTTGAAAACATGAACTCATTCACGCGTTCTCAGCCAGACAAAAAAAGTGCATCTTTATAAAGTGCTGGTCATTTCACAGATTAAGAACTGCATTCAAATGCTTATGATAGTGGAATTAGTCAGCATTCAGGTAATGTTTTGTCCTTTGTTTCCCTAAGTTTCTTGTGACCAAGGCTACTGAGACCATGTGACCTGTGGGCTTCCCTTTGTCATCCTATGCCTGGAGATCACAGTGAGGCAGGGACAGCAAAGGGATGCTCAGCTGTCGTCTCTTCCATCGGCCAACCATTTCAGCCTCATGATAAAATCACTAATTTCATTTTTTTGTCTTAGGAATAAGCATAGGTATGCCACCTTACTGAAGACTTCCCATAGGTAACTAATGAAGAAATAAAGCATCAAAGGCTGGGAGCCATCCAAGTAGCAGTAAAGCTGATGAAGCAATAGGACAGTCACGTTAGCTGCTTTATCTGTACCTGGTGTCTGTCGAGAGAGGTTACAAACATCCACCAACACTGAGTGCATAAGTGACCAATATGGAGCTGATGCAAAAGCAAGGGCAGAGAGACATCTTACTCTTTCCTTTTGGGCTTGGGGAAGAGCATATGGACGTTTTTGCTCACATTGGCCATCAAATGGGTATCATTTTCCTAAGGGCTCTGGTTGGAAGTGGTGCCCTAACACAGAAATCACATCCACTTATCTCAATTTCTTAAACTAAGTTTCACTGACACTTCTTTTTTTCTCTTTTTTCTGTTTTCTGGCTTTTGCAGGACTGGGGCAAGGTGTTCCTGTAGTTGGGCTCATAGTAGAAGGAGGTCCCAATGTGATCTCCATTGTCTTGGAGTGTCTGCGGGAAGAGCCCCCACTCCCAGTGGTGATCTGCGATGGCAGCGGGCGAGCGTCTGACATTCTGTCATTTGCACACAAGTATTCAGAGGAAGGAGGGTAAGGGTTTAAGATCTTTGCCAAAGCTGTGTAGGTCTATATGCCTTGCTTTTATAGAGTTTCATTTAAAAAGCCCTCAAGGACAAAATGCTGCCAACAGAGGCATTCTGCTGTCAGTCAGCTTTTCTTGCCTGTTTAGTCTTAGCCCTGAAGTTAGGGAGTAGAAGTTATTACCACTTTGAATGCATGTTATGGTCCTGTGAAAGGAGCTTGCTCTCAGTACAGCACACTGTTTTACAAGCTCCATCAAAGTTTGCTGCACAGTACTTGGTGCTGGGTTAGGCAGCCTAGAAGCAAGGACAGGTTCCCCGGAGTAACTCTTTTCTTCAGGCTGAGGTTAATTAGTGCATGCATTTGCAAAATTTGTGCTGCCTGATTCTGCTGTGTTGTTGTCCAAGAGTGCCAGACCAGCTGTGGAAATTTTGGGCTTTCTTCATTCTTTTGGTTTTGCCTTCCAGGCAAACACCTCATCTTAATTAGGTTGTGGCATACCTGTCTTGTGCTGAAGATAAAACTTATTTCCTTGACTGAAGTTGAAGCTTAGCTTGTATCAAATATTAAGCAGACAAGTGGTGTTGCAGGCAGTGTGGATGTTATTTGCTGAATTAAGAGAGCAGCTCTTATGCCAGATTTTGTTGGTGTTTAGACATAGCACATATTTAATTGCACCAACAGTATTTATGATCCAGCAACTTTCCTTTCTGTCTAACAAATTTACTTAGTTTAGATCAAACTTGGCTTGCTTTTTCTTTTCTTTTTTATTCGTTCTTCCTATCAGCTCATAATTAATTGAAAGAGTTTAGCAGCATCAGTCTCTCAGAGATGTGCTCACTGCATGACTTTCCCTCCCAGTGACAGTGCATATGATGCAGTGTCCAATTTTCTTGTCCAGTAATTATGATGAATGTGTTTGTCTAGTAAGGCAGATCTATAATGAGAATTTTTTGTCAGTCCAATCATTTTCTCACAGTGAACTTTGAATTTTACTACATTTCTCAGGCACCTGCTGGTAATGTTTGCCATAATCTGAAAACACATGTGCTTTATTGGGAAATGGATGAAGATTGAAGGGCTATTTCATATTGTTTTGGGAGAGCAAACATTCCTGACCTTTCTAGAAAATTTCAATTCAATTTATTTAATTATCTTTTGGATTGTTCATTTGTTTCTCAGTTGGGTATTATGAGTTTTCAGATGCATTAGCAAGTGCAGTCATCTTGTTTAAGACCATAACCAAGGTGACATATCAGAAATGTGAAGTATTTCAGGGTTTTTAGAAGCAAAGGTAGGGGACTATTTAGAAGCAAAGGGTAGGAGTCCTGTAAGGCCTAGCAATAAAATCCTGAAGATTGAATTTATTAACAGAAGTATATCTATGATATATAAGAGGAATACCTGGATATTACAGTTTCTTAAACAGCAGGCCTTCTGAATATATATTCATTCTGGCAATGTCTTCTTTTATGTCTCATTTTTTCATTTAGGATAATAAATGAATCCCTTAGGGACCAGCTTCTAGTTACCATCCAGAAAACCTTTAACTATAACAGGAATCAAGCTCATCAGCTGTTTGTCATTCTTATGGAGTGCATGAAAAAAAAAGAACTTGTAAGTATCCTAAAAGTAGTTCACAAAGGTGATTTCTGAACAAATTTATAGAGTACCTTCAAGTGCCATGTTAGCTTAAATTTATAGTTAAGTTTATTGTTTAGATTATAGTTTAATCTTTTCTCCCTCATATAACTGCATTAAGTGTACACATTCATTCACAAGCATAGGCTAAGAAGGGATTACATATTCTGGAAAGTCCCCAAACCAAATTTCAGATGCTTCTCCTTGATAGGTAAATTGATAGGACTTTTTTTCCACACATTTCAGCAATAAGACACCAAGAGAAATGCATAAACCCAGGATCCAATGCCGAAAGTGGAGGAAGGATAATTGAAATAAGGGTTCCTAGGAGCAAAAATCATTCAGAGTGCATCAACACAGTTTTTGTTTTCTGACATAGTTACTCCTTAACAGCCTTTCATTCCAGGAAAAGGGGCCTGGTAGGCCTATCAAAAGAAACTGAAATATTGTATTCCTGAAGATCCCCCCCTTCCTTGCTCCTGGTTTGCTGCAGGTCTGCTGTATGTGCTGCAGCCCTCACTCAGGTTCCTGCCTGTCTCCCACATCCCAGGTACACAGAAAAGTGTGCTCAGGGAAAGAAAACCTTTGACATTCACATGTGTTGTCTAGAAACAGTATATTGAAACTGCATTCACTGTGTTTCTGCAGGCAGAATGAATCCCTGAGTGTTGCCTTTGAGTAACTCTTTCTGTGAATTTTTATAAATATGATGCCAAGATGAGTTCCATCCATACACCTTCACTGGGTGTAAAGTTGGTAGTAAACATCTCTGATAAGCTGACTGAAAGAGAATCAGCCTTCTTAAAAAGTTGGTTGAGAGATGAGAGCCCATAGCTGCTTTAGTCAGACCATTCTGAATTTAAAATGTGCATCAGAGCAGGCCTGGTATACTCAGCAAAATTCAGACACTGGCTGTGCAGCCCAAGCAGACTTATGGTTATGGTTTTCTGTTGATAGTTTTGTCTGTTCTTGTTAATTAGTAATATTTTTTCTGTACTTCTTCTTTTTCTAATGTCATGTATCTTTGCATTCCTGCAAAATATATTCTAACTGTTGAGAAAATTGTTATTCTCAGTAGTTAATGTGAGTAGTTGCTTTTGGAAAATGAACTTGAGATTTTTTTGGTCTGCATTTGGTATTAAGTTTGTTAACATGGAATATTTGGTTATTCTGCTTTGAATTATTAGTCATCTAATCATGTAAGCTTTACATTAAGTACTATTTTTAAAATCACTGAATTGCAAAATGGACTGAACAAAGCAAATGTGCCTGAAAAGAATTGCTTTTTTCTTAATTTGGTTCTGCCTTTATGATTGTCATGTGTAACACATCCTGCAGCCAACAAGTATTTGAGTGTTATCATCAATAAAATGGATGCTATGATAATTATCTTGGGTAATTAGCATTTCCATTACTACTGGGTGGTAATAGAACTATCAGTAAACAATTGGTTTTGCATGGCAAATTTGTCTCCACATTTTAGAATACATGGGTTTGGTGAAGATTTTTAATCAAGTTTGTCTTGTTCACCAATGCAGGGATATTTAGGATAATTTCACTGAAAGAATTTAGTTAAACACTTCTGTGAAAATTAAAAAGAAAAATTTAAAAGAAAAATTATGTGGAACTGTATTTTTTGAAATATCTTAAATTGGAGGAACTAATAAAGCAGTACCATTCTGGTCTATTTTCTATCCACATGTTCAGTGTCTCTCTTTCGTGTGTTGTAATTTTGTGTGCTTGGTTTTGTGCTGCCCCTTAGATTACTGTGTTCCGCATGGGCTCCGAAGGGCAGCAGGACATTGAGATGTCCATCCTAACTGCTCTCCTCAAAGGTGGGTTTCCTGGCACTCAGGAAGGCTGCACAACAGCATCCCAAGAGGATCTCTCTTTGTGTTTAAGTCTTTGATTTCTTCCCTTGGATTTTAACAAGTGCCTGAGTGTGTTTGGTTACTGTTCAGATTAGCATGAAGCGTAAAATCTAGATTGGAAGTTTTGTGTGGCTTTCCTCCCCTGAAAGCTTGGGATGGGAATGATGTACCAACTGCACTGCTGATAATTGCAGCTCATTTTATTGCAGTTCTAGCATACATTAATAAAGTTAGGAAAAAAAAGCGGGAAGATGAAAAGCTGTCTGGATTTTTCCAGATCTCAGATTGTGCCATTTAAACCTTAGAGCAGTAGGATCAGTTCCATATATAATTGGTGTTTGTAATGTTTGCTGAAACAACTGTTCTGTCTGTGGGTATACAGTAGCTGATACTGACTTCATAAGGAATCTCTGGAGTCTCCAAATTTACACCTTTATGTACAGTATCATCCAGAAGAGCTGAGAGGGGTCTTTAAGAAGAGTTTAATGTCTGTCTTTAGTATCAGAATAAAAGTCAATGTGGAAGCTTTAAAACAAAAGATACAATCTCATTAATCCTTTGGAAATTAGGATTTTAGGGTTAAATGGAAGATGCTATAATTTGATTGGATGAATCCACTGCTTTGTGTCAGAATTATTCTAATGATAGTATGATATGGAGCCAGGCTTGCTGTTTTCTAGTTATTGCAGGAACTTGTCCAATCTTGTTTCATCATGTTTGAAATATGAAACCTCTGTGTGTTTATCTGTAGGTACCAATGCATCTGCTCCAGACCAGCTCAGCCTGGCTTTGGCCTGGAATCGTGTAGACATTGCACGCAGCCAAATCTTTGTCTTTGGACACCACTGGCCAGTAAGACAAAGTTTTCTTTGTTTGTCAGTAGTTTAAATTAAGTTGTGTAATATTTATACCTTGGGTTTTGATGCTGCACTGGCAGCAATGGCAAAACACTGCAGTTCACTTGTATAACTCAAATCCTTTATTTAAGCTATTTTCATGTCTCACTACTGAGAGTATGTATTGATGTTTTTATTGTTTTATTGATGTATCAATGCTTTTTGTTTTACTGTGTGAACCATCTGATGCTGAATTACTCCAAAGTGTCATGAGGAGAGCAGCAATCCAGATTTTTCTCTGTGGAGTTTATGTAACCTAAGCATTATCTGGAGCGAGTTAAGCCTCCAGAGTGTGGTGTGTGTGTGTGCCTCTGCCCTGGGCAGACAGGCTGGAAAGGGGAAAGACTTTAGCTGAAGAATAAATGTGTCTTGAGAGGTATAAACAGAAATGCTGTCTGCAGAACAGAAATGAACCAGTGAGTGGCTGTGTGTCCTCTCTCTGCTCTGCAGTGTGGATGCTATTTAGCATCATGCAGCATTCTTGTTAGGCTCTTTCTGTCCAGCTCTTGTTGCTATTTATTTTCACAACTATTGCTTTCAGAGAGAGGAAAGGAACTGAAGTGTCCCAGTCCTCTCACATTGATTTTATTTTTCAAGAGAAATCCTCCCCTTCACTGCCTTGACTTTCAATGTTACTAATCACAGAATCACAGAAGTCTACTAAGTTAGACTTAATAGCTTTTAAAAAAGGGTAAAGCTGTGACTATGCAGAAAGGCCCTTAAACTTAGAGAAATTACCATTTTTAGTTGACTCAATGTGAGAAGTGGTGACTGGGATGTGAGCTTGGTAGGAGTGACTCAAATAAATAGTTACTGTAAGATCAATTAGATTTCTAATACTTTAATGCATTATAAATACAGCCTTTAGGAAGTCTTACAGCTCCTGATGGTACAGCTCCTGAGAAGGAAAAGAAATCTCCAGCACCTCAGACTAAAGGAGGCAGAGGGAAAGGAAAAGGAAAGAAAAAGGGAGGAAAAGCAAAAGAAGAACCAGAAGAAGAAACAGACCCAAGAAAACTTGAACTCCTGAACTGGGTGAGATGAAAGTATTTGTATAAAAACTGCTGAAGATTTTTTTTTCATTCTGAGGTACAAAGACAGAAGGAAGATACACGCTTTCATTCTGTAGAGTGCTCTTTTGCACATTCCCATGAGATCAGATTCTGTAGGAATGCTGTTTGGTGTTTGAGCCAAGAATCCCTCTCTCATGCCATGTGCACCACATGCAGCCATATCTCAACAGTACAAGTCAGTACTGAGCTGCAGCATCTTCTTCCCTGCACTTGTCAGAAGTAAATAAGACCTCCAGTGAACATCTTCCTCCTGTGAATGTGCTAGTTTAACTTGTTCCTATCATACTGAGCAAGTAAATCCCTTTTTCACATAATGTGTCAAGCATGGTATGCCTGGTTTAGTTAAAAATGCTGAACAAAGTGATTGAAAGCTACATGTTGAAAGACTGGAAATTACAGTTGTATTACTAAAGGTTTGGAAGACTGCTGTCTCTACTCACTTCATGTGATTTAAATGTTACTTTCTAAATTCCTTTTTACTTACAGACTAATCAACATATGTGAGAACTCAGTCCATATCCTAAGTAGTGAAAATGGCTGTGGCTGCTGCCCAACCAACTCTTTTGTACTCGCGTGGTCTCACATTCTTCACCCTTCAATTCAGGTGAACTCCCTGGAGCAGGCTATGCTGGATGCACTGGTCCTGGATCGAGTGGACTTTGTGAAACTGCTTATTGAGAATGGAGTGAACATGCAGCACTTCCTGACTATTCCTCGCCTGGAGGAACTTTATAATACTGTGAGTGAGCAGAAATACTAAAAAGCCCTGTGGTGTGTTGTCATTGTATTGTTTGTGACTTGAATCACCACAGAAAGGTTTATTAAAAAAAAGGATATTACACAGCTCTTGATAAAAAGGTGTTTGTGACTGTAGCCCAGTTCCTTCTTTTCATCCCTCTGGAATGTGATGGCACATGCTTGTCTAAAGCTCTTATTAAGGTGCTAGATCACTAATTGTGTTCATGTTTGCAAAAACTCTGAAGAACTGATGATCTAATGGACCATGAATTATTTTCGTTCCAGAGACTGGGTCCGCCAAATACGCTGCATTTGCTAGTCAGAGATGTGAAAAAGGTAAGCAGTGTTACATTTATGTGATAGCAGTAGCCATGTGAATCAACAGTAAAAGCAGGCATAGATAGGGCCAAGCTGGCATTTGAAATTAGATGGCAGCTGTTAAGAAAAGTTAAATGTCTCCCTGTGGCAAACAGTCTAAATCGGGTATGGCAGTGCTGGTAATTTAAAAACTAAGGAGTTAACTGAATTAAGCTCCTATAGTATAATACGGCATTTGAGATTTAAGTTGATACTGTTTCTTCACTACAAGAAGCTCCCAATGCAGCATTACAGGGGAAGAGTGGAAGAAAAGGCCTGCTGGGTTAACTGGAAGCCCCGCTCATTATTGCTGAATTTGTTGCATTTTGTTTGTTTCCTTGTGTGTTTTCCAGTTACTTTTCTCCCACTAGTCCAACTTTTTACCTGGGAGAAAATCTCTTCCACCCTACATTTGTTTTTCATTTGTTTCCATTACATGAAAATTTATTCATTGTATGTGAATAGGGAGGGTCATTGTGATTTATCATATTTTCTCTCTCAGAGGTTTTGAAGCTTTTGTTCAGTAAAATTCAGCTACATAAAATTGCCTGTATTAATTTCTGCAAGAAAAACTCACAGTTATTCCAGGGAGGTTCAGATGTGGGATTATGCAGTATTGTCTTAATGTATAATTCATATTCATCTGCTTCATCGCTTAATAATACTTTTCTCATTCAGTGTTGTCACTGTGAGTGTCACTAACATTCCTCTGCATTCTGCTGTCTGTCTGTCTCTCCTCTTTTCCATTGCATTTCTATGCTCCCTCCCTCAGCGGCAATCCCGGGGATTCAGTTGGGTTAACCTGGAGGTGATGTGCTTCCTTAGGCTGTAGTTGTTCCATCATAGCAGCTGCTCAGTGGTGATGTAGAATCAGTCATTGCTGTAGGATGTAGCTTGGACAATAAAGCACCATTTTTTCCAGTGGAGTCAATACAATTATCCAGTTTTAGCTGTAACTGCCAAAATTAGAGTTTGCTGCCCATTACTCATGGTCTGCATTGTAGTCTCAGCTGTAGAGAATATAATGAAATATAAGTTTCCATTAAAAAGTATGTAAAGTATGATTATCAGGGATAGTCACTATGACATTGCCATGCTTTTTTACTGGATTAATGATAATTTTTACAGAGTTTCTTAAGTTCATTAATATAAACCTTGTAAACAACATAAACTTGTATGGACACTCATATATGAGTAAATCAAATGAAAGCAAAATTTGCTCAGAAATATTAATTCTGCTAACAACAAAACCAAAAAGCTATGACCCCAAAAATTTTCATTGTGTCAATCAGTTAATTTCATGCAAATGTTTAAAGACTGAACTCAGTGGCTGTAAATAATACCCATGTTCCAATTTAATCATGACATATGTCTAGCCAGGCAATTTAATATATGTTATTTTCTTACCCTAAATCCTTATTAAGTTGTGGGGTTTTTTTTTTTGGTAGGGAAATCTTCCACCAGACTATCATATCAGTCTAATAGATATTGGTCTTGTCTTGGAATATCTCATGGGTGGAGCCTATCGTTGCAACTATACTCGGAAAAGTTTTCGGACTCTTTATAATAATTTATTTGGACCAAAGAGGGTAAGAATGAATGAATCCTACATGTGGCCATTGTGGTAGTGGTAAAAAATAAGCAATACTCCATTCCTTTTTTTTTGTGAAACACTGCATATTAAATTCAAAAGAAGTGCTGCAAGGTAGAAGTTGAAACTCAAAGAGTGAAGTTATATAAGAAAGTTGTAAGACATCTGTGTTAAAGGATGTGAGGACATGAGAGGTGGTGAATACACAGATCTGGAGGTGAATTTCCTCCTATTCCAGTAGTTTACAATCCAAGTATTCCGAACTGTGGGGTTCTTAGAAGCACTTTTTTTTTTGGCTTTTGTGACTATGTAGTGATTTTAATTCTCAAAATATTATTTATCAAATGATTCACTTAACTCTTCAGTCTGAATTAAAATCTTTCCTTTGAGTGCAGGATAGATATTTCCTAACCCATTGCATTCCTACAAATATAATTTAAATGAAGAGTAGTAGCTAATTGCAGCATTATTGGTACAATTATTTATAACAGTAAGTTTCATAATATATGCTGTACATTTGTAAGTGAAAATGGTTTTGCTTGGTATTGTTTGGTCTTTCAGATTTTCCTCTCATCTAACTGATTTTTTTTTCTATTTTTTAATATTCAGCCAAAAGCTCTTAAACTACTGGGAATGGAGGTAAGTTGGATTTATTTAAAATACTGGTTTTATTAAAACATTTCCTGGTACAATACCCTTTTGTTTTTATTTGATTTTCCTAGAGTGTAGAGGACCTAATTTCTTGTCCTCCATTTGAGATTTTATGTCTTGTGCTTCAGAGGTGGTAAATACTTTGTGCAATTGATGATCCCTGAATTTTCCATAGAAGACAGAGGTCACCCCTTGCAGGAGTTAAAACTGCTCAAGGAGAAGTACATGCTCAATTGCTGAAGAGTCATCGTTGAAAATGGTGTGGGAGGTTGAATTCTGAATTTGGATTAAAATTCACATTTTGTTGAAAAATAGTGCATAATGCTGAGCCTGCTTGAACGAGAACTTATTTTGTAGAATAGCAATTTCTTTTATTTGCAATCCACTTCTGAGATTGGGCTCAAGGTCTACAGTGATGATGAGCTCTGTCTTATATATGCAATGTTCTTCCTACATTTTTTAAACCCTAATTTTCCCAATCATGGCTTTTCTCCCTTCAGGATCCTGCTTCATTGTCACTACTTCCCTTCAGTTGCTTCCATGTTGGTTCCTGTAGTAATGGCCTATCCTCCCTATCCCCTTAAGAAATGGGATACTTAATACCTTCCAGGTGCACTGCATACATAAGAGGAGATTGCTTATTCCAAGGTGAAGACTCCCTTTGGTATCTTGCTATTCTTAAGGGTGCTGTGTGCCTGTCTTTGCCTTTTGCATGTTGCCATGGCCTGCACGTCAGTCAGAAAAGCGCTCTGGTACCTGGAAGATGTGCAGGGATAGAGGAATCAGAATCAGAGGCATATGGAATCAGAAATGACAGTGGAGCATATCTGTAGGGAATTCAGCTTTGTTAGAGTCCCACTGACACTGCAGAGGAATTCATTAAATATTAATTTGTTGCAGACCAGCCTGTGCAATTCCACACAAAGTAGAGATCTGTATACAATGCAGTGTGAAGGGATGCCTTCAGTACCAAGGGGCTCTACTGCACTTTTCCAGGATGGGTGACTTGTGTACAAGAAACAGCACCCTGAATAAAATCTGAGTCTGTGTGTGCTTGCCCAGTGCATGCTCTGTCCTGTTGCATTCATGGTAGCAAACAGCAAAACCAGCTTAGAACTTTGAGGATTAATGTGTCCTCTCAGTACTTGTTCCATGCATGGTGCTGTTGTCAGGTGAGCTGTTAAAAGCTGATGGGAACAATTTTTCTTCCCAGGATGATGAGCCTCCCACCAAAGGGAAGAAGAAAAAGAAGAAAAAGGAGGAAGAGATTGATATTGATGTGGATGACCCAGAAGTCAGCCGCTTTCAGTACCCCTTTCATGAGCTGATGGTGTGGGCTGTGCTGATGAAACGGCAGAAGATGGCTCTGTTCCTTTGGCAACGAGGGGAGGAATCCATGGCCAAGGCACTTGTGGCTTGTAAACTCTACAAGTCTATGGCCCATGAGTCTTCAGAGAGTGAGCTGGTGGATGACATTTCTCAGGATCTGGACAACAACTCAAAGTTAGTAGATGCAGAGCAGATTTTATATCCACTTGCTACAAGCTTGCTGAGAAGCTTTACTTTTAGTTCAGTACAATAATTTCTAAATGTAGTTTTACAGAAAGCCATTTGGAGCCAATTTATCAACTACAGACAAGGCAAAACGTAGTCTCTGGGTCTCAA